GAACCAGACCTTCAGGACAATACATGCCTGCGAATTCAAGGCCTGCAATGCAGAGATTGCAGGGAGTGGAGGGGCTGGTCACTGACAGTCAAGCTTTGCAGAGAGGGTCAACCTGTTTTTCCCAGGACCCACAGCAGGACAACCTTCACGGAGGTCACCATGGAATGTCTTCTGGATGAAGCCTGGCTATATTTGGGAGTATCACCAGGTGATGAAGAACAGGATGCCCCTGGAGGAGTTTGAGGTGCTGGACCACCTTGGCAGGATATTTTCTGTCCTTCAGACATTACCTGATGCGACCAAAGGGAGTGAAAAGAGCCCTGGGAAGACATGGCGGGTGGAGGGTGAGAAGGTGGTTCTGGTGACAAATCCCAAGTTCTACAAGATCGAGGGTATCTCCACCGAGAAGGAACAGCAACAGGCCAGGAGATGAGCATCTTGAGTGGTAAAGCCCAGGAATGCACTGCAGATGGAGCTCCTGGAGCATGCGGGATATGACGAACTGCTGGCTAGCAAGGCCCTCATCTTAGAAAGGCAGAGGCTGAAAGAGGCACAGAATAAGAAGTCATCAAAGGCAAAGAATGCTCGAAAGCCTCCAGCAAGAAGAGGCAAGGCTACCTCATAGAGGGAAGCAGAGGGATGGCAAGGGGGAAGGCAAGGGTATGGGTACAGAGGGAGACAGTGATGAATTCTGTTCATCCAGTTCCCCATGTATCAATGATGTGGTGCCAACTTGTGGTGCACTCTGTGCACTCAGTTGATGCACTTCAAGGGGTTGAGCATGCTCCGAGGAGGAGTGGTCAGATGGGAACATTGGTATGTTATAAGATGGATTGTAGTTGTATTACCAGACATGCAATAGACATAGGAGAGTCAGGGAATAATGGTTAGTGCACTCTAAACAAGTCGCAGGGTGTCCAAGTCAATGTGGACAGGGGCTTTGGTGCTTGATCAATGTTCATTGGTGTTTGTTGCTGTTTGTTGGTGTTCATTGGTGTTCGATGCGGTTCGTCCTGCTGTATGGACCTGTGGATGTCCAAATTAGGTCGATTGAGGTGGTCCTGAGGGGGGACGAAACACCGCTTCAAGCGATCCTGGCATGCTCTGAGGAGGAGTGGTCAGATGGGAACATTGGTATGTCTTAAGATGTATTTTAGTTGTATTACCAGACATGCAATAGACATAGGTGAGTCAGGCAAAGATGGTTAGTACACTCAAAACAGGTCTCCAGGTGTCCCTGTCAATGTGGACAGGGGCTTTCGGTTCTGGATCAATGTTCATTGGTGTTCGTCAGTGTTCATCAGTGTTCATCCTGCTGTACGGACCTGTGGATGTCCAAATTAGGTCGACTTTGGTGGTCCTAGGGGGGACAAACACCACTTCAAGGGTCCAGCATGCCATGATGGGGAGTGGTCAGACAGGATCATTGGTATGTTATATCATGTATGTAGGTTGTATTACAAGACATGCAATTGACATAGGAGAGTCAGGCAAAGATGGTTAGCACACTCTAAACAAGTCACAGGGTGTCCCAGTCAATGTGGACAGGGGCTTTGGTTCTGGAACAGTGTTCTTCAGGTGTGTGTTGGTGTTTGCCCTGCTGTACAGACCTAGACATGTTCAGAACAGGTCAATTGCAATTGAGCTAGGGGGGATGAACACCATGTCAAGCAGCCCAGCATGCTCCAAGGGGGAGTGGTCAGATGGGAACATCAGAATGTTATAAGATGTATTTTTTTTGTATTACCAGACATGCAATAGACCTAGGAGAGTCTGGGAAAAGTGATTAATGCGTTCCACACAAGTCGCAGGGTGTCCCAGTCAATGTGGACAGGGGCATTGCTTCTGGAGTGATGTTCGTTGGTGTTCGTTGGTGTTCGTCTGGCTGTATGGACCTGTAAATGTCCTAGCAAGGTCAATTGCAATTGATCTAGGAGGGACTGAACACCACTTCAAATGGTCCAGCATGCCATGAGGGAGAGTGGTCAGACAGGAACATTGATATGTTATCTGATGTATTTTATTTGTATTACCAGACATGCAATCGACCTAGGGGAGTCTGGAAAAGCTGATTAATGCATTCCAAACAAGTAAACAAGTGCTCCAGTATGTTTACTCAGGGCCATCCATGCTGGACCGATGTTCACAAATGTTTGCCCATGTTCATCAGTGTTTGTCATGGTGGATGGACCAGGACATGGTACTACAAGACCCATGCAAGTGGGCCTGTATGGATGAACACCATTCCAAGTGGGCCAGCATGCTCCGAGGCAGGGTGGTCCAGTGGGCATACTGGTATACTATCTGATGTAGATTCTCTATTTCATTGTAATACATGCAGTAATATAGACATACAGGAATCTGGGAATGATGATCAATGTGCTTGAACCAGGTCCCAGGGTCTCCCAGCATTTGGACATGGTCTGGATAGGGGCTTTGGTAAGGGGTTGATGTTTGCTGGTGTTCATCTGTGTTGTCTGTCATTCCCCATATTGTATGGACCTGTACCTATCAACCTGAGAGCAGAGGAAGAGGTTTCCATGGTATGAACACCATTTCAAGTGGTGCAGCATGGTCTCAGCAGGGGTGGTCAGGGTGGGCACACTACATGAAAGTTGATTGACCTACCAGAGGCTGCAAATGACAGTTCCATCTGCTCCAAAATGAGTGACAGGCTGTCACAGTCAATTTGGACAGAGGCCATGGTGCTGGCTCGATGTTTGCTGGTGTTTGCAAACAATTTCCCATTAGCAGCAGACTGACATGGGCCAAATTGTCAAGGACCATCCAACTGCAGCCTTGGTTGATCATGCAGGACTGGAAGTGGTTGGCCCAACTGTCCAGTCTGGGGCCAGTGGTTGGGAAACTTTTCATTCTGTTTACCTGTCAGCTTTGGATCCAGTTGGATGCAACTTGGCTGAGAGGTTCAGAGGGAAAACCAGAGCCAACATCTTTGGAAGATGCCATTCAGAGTTGGACTCTGAACCAGACCTTTGTTGATATAGATTGTGGTTCCCATTCCTGTGGAACTGAATCCCAGTGTTGCCTAGTGTAGTCTGATCAGGTAGCAACATGTTTGGCATCTTGGGATGATACCTGGCCCCAATGTGAACCCCCCTCTTCAGCTTCACTCCATCAAAACAATTCCAGATCAATCCAGCTGTCCATACCATGTCTGTGCCACTTGAATGACATAGCAGGACCATTTGGATCACACCAGCAAGGACCCTATGTGTCATTCCCTCCTCTTATCCTGGGGGTGCTAATTCTGTAATGTTTAGGAAGCATGAAAGCTTGTCAGGAATGGTTGTCCTGCAGGGCCTGAAAGTCACAATGGATGATGACAATGGTAGCAGCATTCCTAGGTGTCAGAATATCCATGAAACATATATTACCCCCCCTCCCCATGTTCACTCCATCAAAACAATTTCAGAGATTGATCTAGCTATCTGAATCATGTCTACTCCATGGGTACTACATTACAAGACCATCAGAATTGCATTACAAAGGTCCCCATATTTGTTTCATCGACATACCTGATCCCCTCCTCATACCCCAGGGATGGCGATCCAGTAACATCAGGAGGGGGTTCCAGCTTGCTAGGGATGGATGTCCTGGGTGTTATCAATGCCACCGAAGACAATGGAAATGATTTCCAGACTCCCAGAAGTATTTCCAAAGAGATACCACTTTGTGGTCTGACCATCCTTCTACCCCCTGTAGATTTTTTTTCCAACTGCCAATTTCATTCAAATTTCACCTGAGACATCCCAATGGACATATCTATCGACTCCCAGCATTATTTCCCCCAAATTATGGTCAGGAGTTTGTAATTATAATTCCCCCAGGGGCTGTATAATTCTACAGTCGTTAACCTCTCACAGGGAAGCAAGCGGAGACATGATTGCATCAGTCCTTCTTTATTCAACTCTGTGGCAGCAGAGTAGAGGAAGTCACTATCGGTATGTAATTCTTACTTTGTCTGGGTAATGCATGGGGAGGTTTATTCTCCGAGTCTCATTGCACTGATATAATAGACTTGCACCAACACGGTTTGAATACCCACCTATTTGAGAGGCTCCGTTTTTCCTTGAAGAAGAAACTTGAAGATTCTGGAGGATTCAAGCAGATACCTGTCGAGTACTAGTGCTCGAACTGGGGGTGCAAAGATGGAATGCAATGGACCGAGCGTGTGACTCTCTTTCTTAAAGTGTACATGACTGACTCAGACGGCTCTTCCTATGCAAACTTCTTGTAATTTCTCTTTGTTTGATATGAGTAATCGGTGTCACATCCCCATCTATATTGCGCCCTTCTCTGTGAACTGGAAGGTCGTCATCGAGTTCCCTGTACAAGCGTCATTGTGTTAATATAACGGCTGAGATGCGTTGCTTTGTGCACCCGAAATGCAAGCATGACCAAGTCCTACGAAGTCTGGAAGCGTGGTTTGCCTGGGAAACCACACATACTGGATTTTTTTCCCTGTCAGTGCTAACAGTACTAAACTAGGAATACTCCTCTGCCGACTGGGAGCAAACGGACCTACGAAGGCGTGGAACCTCACTAATGGTGATGAGCATCCAGCAGGAAAGGGCACACGGAGAATGAGTGCAACTAGAAGAATTGAAGATATGACGAATCGGTCTGCGAGGCCTTCACCCCTCGCACCTCTTCAACGTTCAACCTCGACGATGTCAATGACTCTCGGCCGCAAGAGATTGTGGTATCTTTGTGTAATGGACATCGACCTGCCTGCTTATTGTAGATAGGGATAGATGACTCGCTACTAGCTATTTGTTCGTTGCCTTGGGCCTTCGGAGCAGAGAAGCCCAAGACATGGCTCTATTCGAGAGGTATCTTCGTTTGTACGTTTACTGCTCATGCGACGTTGCGAGCGATTTACATTAGCCTGCTCGCATGCCTTTTCCTGACAAGTAAGCACAAAACCGACAAGGGAGTAGCCTATCACAACTCAATTAATGACGTTCTCTGAAGACACTAGTGCTGTATGAACCCTGCCACATGCCCTCATATCTTGTATGTATGCCCATACCTTCATGAGATTTTGACCGGAGGAATGCCACATATCGTCAGTGCTGTAAGACTTTGCATATAGGTTTAGCTTTCAAGCCCGCATCAGTAAGCGAATAGATGGGTTAAACCTGTTTAAACCTGTCACCAACTGGTCGTGCTAACTGTGATTCCATCATCCCTTGTCCCTCTGGTGTGACCCAAAGTCGCATTATTGTAGAGCAAGTGAATGTGTCCACTCAGCAATTTCTGGCACAACGTATTTGACTAGGGGATGCCTATAGGCTCGTGCCACCAATAGCCGAACATCACGGCCATGCCCTTAACCAGGAGAAACCAGCAAAATTGTCATATCACATCAGCGCACTTTAAACTTACACAAATACAATCGAGACACAAGTACAAATCGCCAAAAAGCAACCACTCAGATATCCACACCGTCGATATAATCACCAGCCGCCTGGTTCAATTTATCTTCGATTTGCTGCCTGACTGCGTCGATGGTTCTCTGATTCGCGGCAGCCTCCACGTTATCTGCGACATAATAAATGTGTTGGGGGGCGGGGGATGACAAGCGTGCTTACATACCCTTTCGTACATTAGCTTTGATGTTCTTGATGCTGAAGATCAGATAATCATCCACCACGGCACTGCAATCGAATGTAAATGCAGAGAAACGCATTACAAGTGCTCCATTTGTAACCCTTGCAGAGAATTAGTGAACCCTCGAAAAAAAGTAGCGGAGGAATACATACGATGCTGCGTTAACACCGAAGGACCCCTTGGTACCACCAGCGGTGAAGCTCCTGAAGAATGCACGCTTTTCTGCCTGGCTTCGAAGAGATTCCATGGCTCGAATAACAACTGATTTTTCTGCCTCAGAATAGAGTGGGTCGTTTCTGACATTTGCGATCACATAGTCGCTGAAGTTCTCGGCACCGGTTGTTGTGCCATCAACGAAATCCGAAGACCACTCGTCAGCCTGCTTGAACCATCCAATTTGGAAAATAGACGTCTTGAATGCATTCCAGTATGCCTCGGTATGGTCATCGCTCCCCACTTCCTTGGCGGCAACGCGAGAGGCGAACTCGAGGGAATTGGCAACGTCCGTCTAAATGATAGCAAATGCAAATGAGGCGTCAATACTTGTCATCATCTTGAAGAAGGTGCACTGACGCGGTTTAGCCCGGTGAGGTTGGCAAGGACGGAGACCAAGGTGCCACCGACGGCAGCAGCACCGTCCTGACCGGGCTCACCCAAATACTTTCCACGGTCTAGTATGCAGACCATCATTGATTTTATAGGACGATTATATGAGGTCGCCTACATACCTCCAACTTCCTCGAGAACTTTAGCCCTGGAGTAGAGGCCGACCTTGAGTGGTGCTAAGGTCGCCGACTTGATGTACGCCGCAGCTTGAGCAATATCGTTGGACATGTTGACTTGAAAAACCTGAGAGGAGTTTACAATAGATGTGTGAGTTACAGTGGTCCTGGATTCAGAACACGTCTACAAACCTCTTTTATACTTACGAGCGTTACAATCTTGATCTATATCTGGCGAAATCGCAATGCTTGCGATGCACCAGCACCAACATGGGATTGTTAACCTGCGCGGCTGGCCTCCTGCCCACGGACAAAACGGTATGTTTTCCCGGTCAGAGAAGCCCGAGAAGATAGTTGGAAAGCGGCAGCCGGTAGGGTTCTCCACTCACATGCTCACATGATATTGACGTGTTCAATGGAAGTAAGAATAATGCTTCGAAGACACGCTTTCCTCCGCGTTCCAGGCATCTGGCTCAGCAGTGCAGGCACGGCGTACCCCAGTTTATCCTTTCGAGGATGATGAACGGGCAACTTGATCTAGGAGATATGTTTCTGTAAGACTGACATAATACTCGCCACCCAACAGTTGAAGACAAGCATCGCATGTGGCTTTTGAGTTCCTGAGGCTAGGACACGTCTGACTGGCTGCGTTTACCCCACATTTTGCAAGAGGTACCGTCACCGTAATGGAATCATCACCACCCAACTGTGAGTTATCGTTTTATCAGCTTGAGTGTCACCATTTAAACGATAAGAGGGGGTTACATCCTTCCGGTAATTGGAAGCCACCAGTGCTATCTGGTGTGAATGGACGCACTTTCTCCCTCGCCACCACGTGTGAGTATTGAAACGAACAGCTGTGATGGTAACACGATGCATCCACGCATCTGGACCCACTGCTCCGAGAGTGTCCTTGTAAATATTCCACTAGATCATGTCCCCCAGAGTTCAATGTATCGGCATAGGGTTTACACAGAAAGGCAAGATCGATACGCTGCATTCTGCACAGGTTACATGCCGCATCGTTTCATGCTTGAGACTGCCTTCGGAGAAGTACGCGAAAGTTGGAATCACAATTGTTGCTTCCCTGACATTCACATCTTGGGCGTTGTTTTTTCCTGGATTCTCCAATGCCCGAGCACCGCCGGAGACGTTGAGTTGAAACCAGTGCGAATCAGAATCTACAGAACAAGAAAGATCAGCTGAATGCGGTAGGTCTTCGAGGCCAGCGCCAGTATTCTCGCATTGTTCAACTTTGTCAACTGGCCGCCTCACGTCTGACAACCAGAATGGACGCACCTTCTACGATGGGATATTTGGCCCGTTCAATCGGTCCTGGTGCCATCTAGCAATACTACATTGTCTGTGCTGGCAGCTAGCACAGCAGCCTAAGGAGGCTTCTCTACGCAGGTCAGCTGCATGGTCCCTACTATGGATTTGGAGTGCACGGTTGACTCTGACATATGATCCATGTCTTTCGGCTGTAGATCCGCCGCCCATGCAAAGTAGTACCCATCTACTTAGGGTGTATGAGAGAACCGACATCGTAGTCCATTCATGCCTAGATCTTGGTGTTCATGTAATGGGCGTAACCGTAACTTCTTCCTGCTGCCATTACGTTACCGGGAATGTTGGATTCTAAACGGGGCACCCTGGAGGAAGCTCTCTGAGAAAAGAAAGGCCAGTTAAATGCCACCAACCTTCCATGCACATTGTGAGGGACTGCTTGTCCTGCGCATCCAATGCTCGCATTGGCTTCTCAAAGTCGAATTCCAAGTTTCTGATCACACAGGCAACCCGTGATTGGATGGATAATCAATGTCGTAGTCCGACTGGGCGTGACCATTTCATTTCCTCCTGTATTCATCGAAACCGAGGCACACGTTGGTTTTCAATCCTAAACGGGATACAAAAAGATCTCATGTCATAGAGGCCAGCTGAATGCGATCACCTTCCTTGAAATTTGGGGTGCAAAACAGTAATTCTGTTGCCAGTCACCTTAACATGGAAGTTTCTTCATTGCAGACCACATGACAATTGGATGTCTTAGTCATAGCACTGAATATCTTCGCTCTTCGAGATGCTGACGGCGACTTGGATAGGCACAGGAAGGTTGGTCAGGTGAGTCGAGATGCGTACACATGTTGTTGCGCCCGGTGGAATACAACTCCGTAACTTTCAAATGGGGCTTGCTCCACTCCCGGCATCTGCCGCTGGGAGATGTGTTATAACCTTTCGTACGCGCACTAGAGTTATCACACGTTGAACTCCTACTTCTAATATCAACCAGCATGTCTATCAGTGCGGCTGTCTGCGTTTCCATACTCCTAGTTTTTTTGCCTGGCGTCAGCACACAACACCAGGTGGGGTTTAATGCATAATCAAACATTTTTGCTCAAATCTTTGTACAGGAGGACGTACGAAACAGCTTGGAGTTTGCTGCCAGAGCAGCAGATAAAGCTACCGGCGACGACTACGCTGGATGGTTCAACACTTTCAAGACTACACTTTTAAATATACACTGGTTTAGCCAACAAGATGGGTTCGTTCATGCTGCTTAACACTTGCTACGGTCGGCTTATGCTCCAACCCAATGTTGACAGGCTAGAACAGGAGGTCCAAGGACTAGTCTTTGACTCTTTGGACTTGACCAGCTCAGAGCGCGATCTGCTCATCCGTGCTTTGAACGCCCTCCAGCAGAAAGCAGAAAATGAACAGGCACTAAACCTGTTCAACCAGAGTGCTCTTGATGAAGTCAGTCAAGATGTAGTTTCTCGTTTACTTTTTATCGGAGGGGGGAATTACCATGGCAAATTCCAGCTTGCCCTTTGCTCGTGAGTTCACTATATGTGGTCCTGCCATTACATCGCCACTCAAGCGAACAATCGTTAGGGAGAATAATGGTGCCGTCGTAGTCTCTACTTCCTACGTCCACTTCAACGTCAATGGGGCGCAATACAGCAGTGTTCTCTATGCAGATGGCAAGGTGGAAACGAAGACTACACTCTGTAAGTAGAGTCCTTCAAAATGCTGACGGGATGTTAACTCAGTGAGCTTAGCGACCCACGTGCTTGGTTTGAACAGTGAACTATACAGCAATGTTCGCGATTCGATTAAGAAAAAGCTTGAGGACAGTGGGATATCTGAACAAGAGACCATTTCTGGATTGTAATATATGAATGCGATGCATGGCCACCATATATATATGTAACAAATAGGAATTATTATCCGGATCAATGGAGTGAACTATGTATATTGCTGAATCCAGGTCCTACGTTGCTGCTGCGTCGCGCATTATGGAGAGCCTACCACCCATCTTCGTTTTTATGCCGGTTTGGTATCACTGCACCTGGCAATTGTACACACTTTTTCTGACATTCTCCCAATCGAATATGTTGGCACTCCATTATGTGTAGGATTACGGTAATATTGTTGTGTGCGTGTGTTGTACCTGGCACAAAATGTCTGCTATGGCGCTCCGTTTGGGTAAAAAATAATGCGCGACACAGAATATACAATGCACGACACAGGACATATAACGCATGATATGCGATATAAGGAGTGTGCGACAAGCAGGGAAAAAATGAAGGAGAGCTGAAATAAATGCTAAATGTCTCATAGACAAGAAGTGTACTCGGAGACAACGCTTGACCCGTGCTTGCATTCAACTGATGCCATCCAGCGAAACAGGCCTACAGCACTTGCTAGTAGAATCTGTTGGAAATGTTACTATATGTTCCGACATCTAGATTGATCCAGACTTACACAGTGTATCAACACGTTGTCATCACATGACATTCTTTAGCAATCAGCTCCACAATGATATCAGTATGATGTCATTTCATACGTCATATTCCATGACCTTCTATGCAGTTCCTTACTATACTGAGTAGTAGTTTCCTTTTACGCTCTTGGTCCATGCGTATCTACTCATGTATATAAACTCAGGGATTTCTTCCTCAATCCCTATCGAATTCTACATTCGTTCTTCACTTGTCTATTTGACAACTGAGCCCCTCAACACTTAACAAGCTTTTATTCAAATCTACTACCATTTTGATTATAAGGCAAGTGTTCGTGCCTTTGCTCTTCGTTTCTCCCGTTCCTCTGCGCAATAGGTTATGAGCCCCACCCTTTACTAGGCGGTCAGCTATTTACGCATTTGCATCGAGCGATCACTGCCGACAGGGCAAATCACGATGGATGTCGTAGGCCTAGATGTGCTAGGAATGGTAGTAGTAGTCTTCGCTGTGTTGCTTGTTGCCGGCCTTAACCAGGCTGTGCTTTTACTTCATTACGGTGGTCATGATCTGATTTATCTACATGAGCTCACTGTGCACTCGGTAGCCTTTTGGTTTTCCTTTCTAGGTCTCTCCACCTGGTGGCGAAGGCAACAATTCTTGCTTCAAGAGCAGATTGTTCGCAGAGCATTACTTCAATGTCTCATTCTTTGTCCTCCAACTCCGCTGCCTCATTACCTTCATTTCCATCTTCCTGATATCGACTACGACGCCGACTTAGATCCCGTTCCACCTTATGACGAGGTTGAAGTGCATGACCTGCCTTCTCCACATCGGGCACCGACTCCTCAGCCTGAGGAAGTTGCTGCTGTCCATGAGTTGCTCGCTCCGGCTGAGCATGTTCTTGCTGTTGTCCCTGACGACAACGCAGAGTTCATTTTACTCTAACTCGTGTGTCATTTATCTTCAAAATTATGGGAACTAATCTACAGTCTTTACAAAGATGTCTTTGGTCGTCACAAAGAAACTCGAGCTCGCTATCACTGAGCACTGTGATGGGATGTATGACGTAAAGTGGCAGAAGTATGCGGTAAAGGAGATCATAGAATATACCAAGATGTTATACATATGCGACTGTGCGAGTTGGAGAGAAGTGGTTCCTTCGTTGGTGGCTTTTTTCAAGAAGCCAAATCCTGCGACCTATCTTGTTCCCATTGACACTGTGGAAACAGCATGGCAACAGATGCCCCACTTTCCTGGTTTCGAATCACCCTTCTTTTATCCGGGTCTCCATCTTGCCTTCCACGGTTATTTAACCGACTTCTTCCCTAAATTGTCCCATACCTTGACTCCTCATGCTATCGCTAACTTCAATGGTTGCGATCTTCCCAGTGCCTACTATGAAGATCCTTCCCTCGACACTGTTCCCGCATTCACCATCACCCACGATATGTTTTGTTATGTCTACTACAACGTCCACCCACTCTACGATCCCTGCTTCAATGGCATCATCCCTCCTCTCTGCCTTTTGAACCAGCATCTTGAGTTCCATTTCAGAGGAACTTGGGTTGACGGATCAACCGACGTTGCCTGTATCCCGGGATGGTTCCAAGAATGCAGATGCAGAGGAGACAGGTTTGATAGTGACCTCTTTAGGTCTTTACAACGGTATAGGGACATGGCAGATGTGGGAGTTACCTTGCGATATAACTCTGCTAACCAGCATCTTTCATGGGGTCTCGGCCCCACTGACTGCAGACTTCGCTTACTGGCCCGGAACAGAGGAGGTTTTACACTGATCTCGAACGTGTCATGGACTGACAGTACTTTTGACTATCTCGCAGCTCCCCGACCTCGAGGAATTCGCTCCATGGCTCTTAGCAGAGCTCGTGAGTCTCGCACCATATGCCAAAAGCTATCCTCTTCCAAACTCGCTGGACGCACCATACGTATCAGGTGGCCGAAACCATTGGTTAACTAATACTTGTAATCTTTACGAGTCTTACAATTGTCTTGAAGTATTAGTTAAGGACAAGCATCCTCGCTACTCTACTGCCCTCAATGTACCTTATTCTTGCGCCGATCCCTATCTTGGGTTTCATTCAGAGGGAATTCCATTGCATGATTGCAATTGGAGTTTTATGTCTTATCATTATTTCCCTCCACTAGACTTTTTAAGTCTAGAGCGCAATAATTCTCGCATCTCCTCTTGGAGATTCGCTGAGAAAGGTACAAAGGCACCAGAGACCAAAATAGAGAAGCGAAGGAATCCTTGTCCTTACTACAAAAACCAATGTATTCGCAAGCGCTGTCCATCTCAAGCTGCTAGAGCATCTGCTCACAGACCCAAAAGGAATCAGATTCATGAATTGAATCCTCCATCCATTAAAATCCATCTGACTCACTCATTCTTATACGAACACCTGCTTATGGACTTTTGACACTTAGATGTCCGAAGGTCTTTCTAAGCAGATCCCCAAGCTTAACAGCTTGAACTATGCCTCTTGGTCAGTTCTTATGAAGGCTTACATGCAAACTCTTGGTATTATGGGAGTCATTGACGGCACTGTGGCTAGACCTGCTGCTGGTGCAGCAGCTGCAGACATTGCTGCCTGGGTTACTTCTGACACCAGAGCACAAGGCATTCTCACGCTTTATTGCAATCCAATGATTGCAATGTCGATTGATGGACAAGCCTCTGCCCATTTGAAATGGCAAGCTTTACTTAATGCATATGGAACTCCTTCGGCAATGACAACCTTTATGGAATTTCAACACCTTATCCGTATCCAAATCAAACCAAAGGATGATATAATGGCCAAAATTGCGGAGATAACAATGCTCATCACAGCCATTAGCGCTCAGGGCATCGCCCTGAATGATAAAATGAAAGCGCTCATCCTAGTCCATTCAATGACTCAAGCCTGGGAACA